ACATCTGGTGAAAATTTCATGTCATTAGCACCTCTAGTAATATATTTACTGAGAAAAATGGTGACATGTTCAATACTTATTTTACCTCCTGTATTTTCATTTTAAATTTAAGCATCGGTTTATAAATACGACTGCAGTTGCAGGTTTGGGGTTTAAACCCAACGTCCACAGCATAAATCAGTTTGTTTCTTGACAAGAAATCATTTTTTACACCCGTGATTCTCCTCCTCTCTGAGCACCAAAGCAATAAATAGCGCTGCAGAACAAAACGTTGCTGTCAGAGCTGAGGCCATGTGGATTTAAGGCATCTTTACTATAAAACCAGCACATGAAAAAAATGACATTTGTTTATTACAGCATGTATCTGAGAGTGAAGCAGGGCACTGTGTTCATTTTTCTTCCTTTACAGAACAAAACCAGCGGTGAAATTTAAGGTGGTGTCTCTCGGCTATGTGCTTGTGTGTCATTGAAAGCCTCCTGAACAGATGGGTGGAGGATGGAGGAGCTCTCCCCTGCCAGCACTCTGCTCCGTCTAGAAGAGCTCGATTGCGAAGGATTTTTATTGCATGGCAACCGGTCGAGGGATGTGCTTTACAGGGATCTGTGCGCTTCAGGCACTCTGTCTCACTCCTCGCAGCAGTTTGTTCAGCTGTCGACAGTGCCACACAGAGCGGCGTGACGCCAAGAAAAAACTTTCTCCACACATACAGGCTCCTGCTGTTGGACACTTTTATGAAATATGACACAAAGTCAGAGATAAAGTTCAACTAGTTGCTTCCCCTTAGCTAAAATGAAAACCACAAAAGCAGAGAATACATTATTTTTCTCTCCTACCTTTCAGATATGCTCTAAAACAGACCTCAATGGTAGGCATGGTTCTGCTAATCAGCTAATCAGTTAGCAAATTAGCTTTTTCACTAACTTTGGAAACCGTTACTGGACCAATTAGCTTCCGCTAAATTAATTTTGACCAACTTTTAAGTCAGCAAACAGTTAACTAACAAAGTTAACATCCACAGGTGGTCAGTCCCACCAGTCTTCAGCTCCAAAGAGGTACCACACCTCCCAAACAAAGACCTTGAGAAAGTGATTCATGCTCTCATTACATCTCGTTTGGATTATTATAATTCTTTGTACGCTGGTTTAGATACAGTAAATCTTCTCTGCATCTATTACAAGTTGTCCGAAATGCAGCAGCTCGTCTTTTAACAGGAACTAAAAAATACGAACACATATCCCCAGTTCAGGCTTCTCTCCATTGGCTTCCTGTTCATTTTAGGATAAATTTTAAGATTTTATTGCTTACTTTTAAAGCTTTAAAAGGTCTGGCCCCATCCTACCTGTGTGATCTCATTAACATCCACACTTCAGTCATCCAATCAGTTCCTCTTAGATGTTCCTAGATCCAGGCTAAAGTTTAGAGGTGATCAGGTCTTTGCAGTTTCTGCCCCAAACCTTTGGACTGGTTTACCTCTTAGCATTCGGACTGCTGAGACTGTTGAGACTTTTAAATCTACTTAAAACTCACTTTTACTCCCTGTCCTTTCATTCTGGTAGAGTTTGAGATTCTTTTAATGATAATGTTTTTAACATCTTTCTGTATTTTAAATTGAGTTTACTGTCTATATTTATGTGTTGCTCAATTGTTTTTTTCATTTGGCTGAATTGTGAAGCACTTTGGCCAATTTCTGTTGTTTTTATGTGCTGTATAAATAAAATTGGCATTGACATGAAGACGTGATGCAGACTGACAGTCGTCCTTGTGATTAGCTGTTCGTGTTAGCTTTTGCAAATTTTTACTGGTTTAGCTGTTTAGCGTTAACTTCCACTATTTTTATTTTTGTTTACATGTTTAGCATTAGTGAAGCTATATTTTTAGTTAGCAGTTAATGAGTTAGCAAAGCTAATTTTTGGTTAACTGTGCCCACTGCTGTCATCCTACCTAAGTGTGAAAACTTTAGCAATTTTATATATATTTTTTACTTTTAAAACAAGGAGTCTAGTCAACTTAAACAAAACAGAAGAGTTGACGTAATTTCTCTAAACTGTTAACTTGTTTTATGTCTTTGGTTTTTTTTGGCATTTAGCACCCAGTAAAACATTTTTTTAACTTTAATTTGTCTCACATTCTTGGTGACAAGGTGGGTGTAAACATGACTGCGCTGTGTACATTTTGTATTCCAGTTTTTTTCTCGTTTGTTTTGTTTAGTGTGCATATGCTCCATTATGAGCTCCAGATGAACATTTGTTTGAAGATGACTTATTCATAAAGCTCACGAGTCGTTTAAAATCCTACCTGGTGATTTCCTCCCTCAGAGCAGCAGGGTCTGGTGGGTAAAACTTGACACGCAGACACATGGTGAACGGAGGCTGGGCTGAAAAATAGACGACAAACTGAAAACTAGACATGGTTTTTTACGATGTAAAAACAAGTGTGCATTGCCATGTAGCATGTCATTGCAGCATGGCTTTGCCTGCAGCAGTGCACTTGCAGAATGAATGGTGACCAAGTTCAAATGTGTTTTCTAAACCAGCTTGTGCTTGTCAAGTCAGCAGGTGTTTGTAATGAGGGTAATTGTGTGACAATATGAAGTTTGAAGATATTTTTTGTTAAAGTTGCATTAGCTGGGTTTTGAACCCTGATCTCCATCATGAAAGCCCAAGGCATTAAACAATGAGACCATTGGAGCTGTGGCAAAGAGGATTGCCAGGAGTTGGTTTAGGTGTGTGCAGAAAGAGGCCACATCGCCAATGCAACTGTTGACACTAAACTGCAATATATTATAACAATAAAACTATATTAGGACAATATTGTAGTAAAACATCAAAATACTAACATATTAGTATTGTAAAAACTGACTACTGAGTTGAAATATTACTAAACTATGGTGCAGTACTGAGTAGATACAGCATGGGGCAGTATTGGACCAATACAAGGCTCCATTGACTCCCATTATAAATTATTAAACATTAATATTTCAAAAACTATAAGTTGTACGGGTACCAAAAGCCATAGCCATCATTTGGCATAGGAGCTTTACAGATACAAATTACAATGGCAGCTCTAGGACAAAGTATGCAGGAGGAGAAGCGTGTCAAAGTGGAGATGACTCGGATGGGAAACGAATCACAATAGTACACTGATTACATCCTGAATTCCCCACAGAGAGAAACATGATGTTTGTGTTGTGCACGGTTTAATCAATACTATTTATTTTATCAAAAGAAGCCTTTTAAAAAGAAAACAAAACACAGAATAAATTACCAATGAACTCAAACACACAAGGCATTGGGAAATGAAACACTTACATTTCATTTGTTTGGCAATTGATTTGGAAAACTCCAACCAGTGCTGCAAAGAAAAAGAGTGAGAAAGGTAAAGGACAGGTCTGCTCTTTGAACACAGATTCTTCAGCTTTTCTAAACCAGGGGTGGGCAATCCTGGTCCTGGAGGGCCGCAGCCCTACATGTTTTACATGTTTCCCTGCTCCAAAACACCTGATTCAGTCACTGAACTACCTCTTCTAAGTTCTGCAGTATGGAGGACCGACACTGACATAATTAGAAATAAAAGCAGAACTAGATGAACGAACCTTTAAATAAATACATACATTTCCAATGCACCAAATAAATTCAAAAAGAGAACTTTACATAATATTTTATAATTTAATTGACCATCAGATTTATTTTTCCAGCTTAGTTCCAATAAATTATATATTTTAACACATAATTTAAATTTTAATGTTTTTAATATATATTTTACATAGTTTTTCCTTTTACTTGTACATGCATTTGTGTCTCTTGAATGCTTAAATTGAATTATTATTATTTTGTGCAACAAGTCTTTTTA